TTCTCTAAAAGTGTCTCTACCTCGTCGTGGGTCCCCTGCTTCACGACTGTCCTCAGGCTCAGGCATCTCCTCTCCGACGTGGGCTTCTTCACGGGCCGCGAGTGGGTCCCTGCTCCACTGGGACCGTCCTGGCTGCAAGGGAGCCACCTGCCATCTCACCACTGGTTGCAGGGGAAACTCAGCTCGAGCACACCTCGTCCCATTCCATCTCACTGACCCTGGTGTCTGTGTGGCCGTTTCAGATCTCAGTCCTCTCTGGGTGAACTCGGCCTGGTGAGCACCCCGGGAGCGGGGCTTTCTCCAAGTTCCCCAAGTGGCTCCGTCGCCACCATCCTCAGCGGGTGGTGCCGGCCTGGCATGGGCTCGCGCCTGGGCCCGGGCCAAAAAAGGGGAGTGGAGGCAGCACCCCCCTCCCCTCTCCTCGCTCCTGCGCAAAGGCACACACCTTTCCGGTTCCTTTGTCCCAACGTAAACAGGGCAATTCGCAGAGGCGCCAATTGGCTCAAGCCCCGAGGGGGATGGGAGTCCGATCTGGTGGGCAGCTCCTGCCACCAGAACCTCCCCCCGCCTCCAAACCATAGAGCTGTTGTTTCACGTGTCAATTCTTTCAAGGCTCTGGAATAGTGGTTATCCAGAAACATCCAGTTTGGAGAGTACCACAGTACCACACCTTTTTGGTTTCCTCTCGGCACAGGGTACCACTGGCTCTCCTGCCAGTGTCTCATATGATCACCGTTACTGAAAATAGAGAGGAAGCATCATCTTGACTTACATGAACTGCACTTTCCCAGTGGAAACACAGAAGCAATATGACCTGACAGAAAGTATATCTGCTGGGTGTGATTCAAGGGAGTGACTCTGTAGAAAGCCTCTTTTGAAGTCCAGTGTTATGTCCTGGCAGCTGTTACTGCAGATATATCTAGTTTTTTTCCCTGAGCTGTTAAATTTGTGTTCATTCTGTTCTTTGAGTATTGACTGTTAGGTGGGAAAAATTATATTTTCTGACAAAAAGCTGGGCATGGTTCATTTAAATGCCATTTTTGATGATGGATGTTGCATTTCAGATTTTTTGAGATCTTGCCTTCATTGCTGAGCGGTAAGAATCATGGTTCTTGTTGTCCTTGGAATTGTTTTCTGGGGAAAATATTCCAGGCGGAGAACTTAGCAGTTACTGGAATTCTCTTAGCTTTCTATAGATTTTTCCTGTTTTCCAAGAGTTTGTGGCCACTTACAAAGGATTACCAAAGCCTTAAAGAAAATTGAGACCTGTTTGTTGAAATACCAACACTCTGAGAAATTTTTACATTGCCATAGAATAATTCAAAAACATCTGCTAGCATTTCATAGTATGCCTTAATAGTTTTTGAGAGTTCTGGAAATTGTAAAAGTTGCCAAAGATTTGGCATACCAAAGAGGTATTCAATTACAAAAATAGGTCCCTCTTACTTCCTACTGATGTAGGATTTTTCTGACAAATATACTTGTCTCTTAAGGCACACAGTATACCAAATGGGACTTCTTTTTGTTGAGAGGTTAACATTTTGCAGCTGAGTAAAATATCTTCCTGTTGAGAAACTGTATTGATATTTCAGGATTTTTTTTCTTTTTCAGTTCTTTAATTCTCGTTTTATCCTGTTCTTACGAATGTGGGAGATGGTTGCAGGATATGTATTGAAAGTCCATAATTTCTGGGTTTATGCTTGAGGAAATAATTTACGAGTGCTATTGTACCACTGACTGTTTTACATGAAATGCTTAATTTAAATACAGCACAGTTGTTTGTTTGTTTTTTTTAATCTTGAAGCCGTATTCTTTTCATATTAATTGCAAACATTTGTAATCTGTGATGTTAGTGCATAACTCAGCTATTTTACATGTAAACCAAACTTTTTTTAAAAAAACAAAACAAAACCCACGCCCTTGTTCAAATGCTCAAATGTTAGGAAATGCCAGAATTAAAGCCCAAGCTGAAGATCCATTAAGTTCTAATAGTCAGAAATGAGCATCAGTGTGTCCTCTAGGCACCATATCACCCTTAAAGACAAATTCAGCATTGTATCCTAATGCCTTTCTTCTGGAAAAACCCTACACATTTGTAATTGCCTGCTGCAAATTTGTACTTCACAGTATGATGTAGGAGAATGCTCTGAAGTGGCTTTCCTCTCCTGCCTTTTTCCAGGTGCACCTCTAGAAGTAGCCCAGGTCTGGAAGACCATGTTCCAGATTCTCCACAGCTGGAGAGTCATAAGTAAGTTTGACTGACTGACCGTCCAAGATTCTGGAACTTGCTTTCTGTGTGTTGTGCTGACCGTGTTCTTGATCTTGCCTCATAATGTTATTTGGTTTTTTTGCAGTCCTTGGTTAGCCGCATCACCAGCTAGCTCTCCTGTGACAGCGCCTGTCATGTTTTCAGCTATTGTAGAAGAAGAGCTCCAGCAAGAAGCTGCTCTTATTCGGAGCAGAGAAAAACCGTTGGCTTTGATCCAGGTAAAGTGCTAAATTACTGCAGCTGTGAAGTAACACAAGGAGTTTCCAATGGCTGTTTCAGAGATCAGTTTTTATGATTAATTATATATTGGTACACTTAGTATAATTTACATAATGATATTAAATATAATTTAATAATAACTTCACATTGCTGTTTGATAACGTAGCCCTATATTAAAGTCAAATTGACTACTGAGTCCATGATTAATGCATTCACAGCATCAGAGAGTGGTTGAGGTTGGAAGGAACCTCTGGAAATTGTCTAATCCAAACCCTTGTTCAAAGCAGGGTCAGTTAGAGCAGATTGCTCAAAGATGCGTCCAGGCAGCTTTTGAATATCTATAAGGATGAAGACTCCGTAGCCTCTCTGGAAAACCGGTTCCAGTGTCTAACCACTCTGACAGTAAAAAATATTTTTATATTTAAATGCAATTTTCTGTATTTCAATCTGTGGCCATTGCCTCTTCTCCTGTTACTGGGCACCACTGAGAAGAGCGTGACTCAGTTGTCTTTATTCTCTCCCATCAGATGTTTATACACTTTGATAAGATCTCCCTAAGGCTTCTCTTCTCCATGCTAAACAACTGCAGCATGCTCAGCGTCTCCTCGTATGTCAGATGCTCCAAGCTCTTAATCGTTTTTGTGTCCATTCACTGGACTGTCTCCAGTAGGTCCGTGACTCTCTTGTACTGGAGAATCCAGAACTGGACCTAGCACTCCAAATGTCTCTCACCAGTGCTGAGTAGAGGGGAAAGATCACCTGTCTCAATCTACTGGCAGTGCTGTCCCTCGTAGAGCACAGGAGGCTGTTGCCCTCCTTTGCCACATGAGCACATCGCTAGCTTAATAGTCAGTCTGTCCACGAGGACCTCAGATCCTTTTATGCTAAGCTGCTTTCCAGCCTGTTGGACCCCAGTGTGTACTGGTGCTTGGGTTTATTTTTCCCAGGAGCTGGACTTTGCTTTTCCCTGTGTTGAACTTCATGGCAGCTCAACCATCTGACATATCAGACACTCCTTCCCATTTTGTATTGTCTGCAACCTTGCTGAAGGTGCACTCTGTCTCATCATGTGGGTAATTAATGAAGATGTTAAACGGTACTGGCCCTAGTCTCAGTCTCGGTATTGGTGCTAGTGACTGTCTTCTAGCTGGACTTTGTGCCACTGATCAAAACCCTTTGAGATCACCAGTTCAGCCGGTTTTCAGTCCATTTATATTGTCCATACTTAAGCTTGTCCACTTAAGCTCTTTGTCTGTACATAAACTCACCACTTTCCTAGCAATCACACTAGGAGGGTGACTGGTAAGTAGTCACCCATATCCTCCTTGCCCTTCTTGAAGGTAGGAATGACACTTGCTTCCTTCCAGTCCTCAGAAAACAACCCTTATTGCCACAAACTTTTCAATATTTTTTTGAAAGTGAGCTTACAGTCATACTGGCCAGCTCTTATCTCAAGGGCCTGGGATCGCTGAAGGCTGACCTTACGACTAAAGACAGAGATGAAGGCAGCTGTTAGTTCCCCAGCCTTTTCCATGTCCGTTGTCATTCAGCAGTGGGCCCAGATTGTCTTGTTCCTGCTGTAGGAGCCTTTCATGTTGCCCTTCATGTCCCTTGCCAGATTGAAGTCCAAATGAACTTTGACTTTCCTAATTCTGTTCCTGTGTGCTCAGACAATGTCTCTGTTTTCCTGCTGGGTCACTTTCTCTGCTTCTGTCTCTTGTATGCTTCCTTTTTGTTTGAGGTTTGTCAGGAACTCTTTTTTTTTTTTTTTTGTCTTTGCACACCCCCTGCCACTCTTGCTTGGCTTCCTACTCATTAGCATGGATCATTCTTAAGCATGGAGGAGGTGATCTTACCAACTATCCTGGACCCTTCTTCTTTCCAGGGCCATATCCCATGATTTTTTTCCATGCAGATCCCTGAACAGATCATAGTCTTCTCTTCTGAAGTCCCAGGTTGTTATCCTGTTATTTGTCTCGTTCCCATTTCTCAGGATCCTGAGCTTCATCTTATGGTCATTGCCCTTGACCTTCTCATCTCTGACCAATCCTTCTTGGTTTGTAAGTAGGAGATCCAGCAGTGTCTCCCTTCATCAGCTCCTTGATCATCTGTGTTAGGAAGTTTTCACCAGTGCCAGCCTCCTGGAGTGCGTGTACCCTGCTGTGTTGCCTTACCAGCAGATATCAGGGTGGCTCAAGTTTCCCATGAGGAACCAGCAGATACCAGGGTGGCTCAAGTTTCCAATGAGGAGCAGGGCCTGCAAACAAGTGTTTGAAGAAGGCCTCATCTACTACTGCTTCCTGATTAGGAGATCTGTAGCAGACATGCATTCAGGACCAGTAAAGCAAGTTTGTGACCATGTTGCTGGTGTAAATGTAGGTCTAACACTGACATACATGTTCTTTTTTCCTTACAGATCGAAGAGTGTGCTATTCAAGATTTGTTAATCCACTATGAAGCTTTTGACAACCCTGATGAATTTGTGACTGTGGAAAGGGCTCCACAGAGACCTATAGCAGCACCTATGTGGAACAAGCACTAATTTGTACTCTTCACAGTCCATGTTTATGTGCACAAGTTCTAATTCTTGATACAAGTGAAATGGGACTGGAAAAACAGGAATCATGTAATTTTTAACATCAGCATTAAAACACTGCACATAATCACTAGGTATTTGTTAGAGAGAATGGAAATAATGTGTTCACTGTGTCCTTTACTCACAATATATATTGTATGTATGTTTTGAGAGAATTTCTTTAACAAGACATATTATTAGTAATGTTACATGAAGCTGTAGTTTGGAAATGCATCTGCTAATCTTAAATTGTGAGGGTTTTTTGTTAAATACACAGGTGACTGAAAACCAAGTGCTTATTTTATGATTTAATGTAGAATTGAATGTGCAGAATTATACATCTTTAAAGTTTGGGGGGAAAGGGGATATGTTCTTCAGAGCTTTCTGGCAAATTGGGAATATTGGAAAACGTTTGTGCTTGAACTTCATGTAAAAGTACAGTTTGATAACGCAGTTTTCCTGAAGTTATGTGTGTAGGTACTGGTTCTTTGTTGTGGCCAGTACTTTTTACTGTCGTGCTCCACGATGAACCTCAGCATCTGGCCATTGCCTGCTCGCAGTTCAGTCGTGCATGTGTTTTTCACTGTTGTGAGACCGGCCTCCGAGCAGTCAGCTCTGTTGTGAACTAAAGCACACAGTTGAATAGAACATGGTGGCACTTTATGAGCTCATCTGTAGTCTTATTCTGGCAAATATGGTACGGTTTTAGAACCACTGTGTTTAAGGTACAATTCACTTGAAGTGCTGAGGAAATAAAAGATCTATGTATTCATTATTAAAGCTATAGGGACGAGTGCTTGACTGTGGAATTTGCAAACACCTGCCCTTCAAAGATTATCATAGGTGGCTTTCGGTATTGTGTGTTCCAAAGTTCGCTGTGCCTGGTTTAAGCAAATTTATATTATATATATAAAAGAAAAAAAAAAGTAGCCTTATCGGCAATATTCTGCCTAGTTTGTCCGTTTGTGTGTTTGAGCTTGTACTTTTTCTATAGTGTCAGTACTCATGAACTCTGGAAAACTGGAATGGAGAGAGCTACAGAAGATGAATGTAGAGAATTGATCACTGTGTGATAAGAGTTGAATCTTGAAAAAAAATCTATGTAGATATGTGTAATGGTTTCAGGTCAAGCTACACCAAAAAGTCCCCCACAAAAATTGTAAACAAATGCAATAAACCATAAAATCTTGATTTACACAAAGTTAGTATACTTTTATGTGCTGTCTCTATATAATCCATGCTTTAGGTAACTACAGAGTAACCTAAAAGTATTTCTTTTGTGTATAAAATGAGAACTGTAGGCATTTTGAAGCTATACAGGGAAAGGAAGATGTAGCTTTTAATTCTATCTTATATTCTGCTGGTGATTCATTCACTATGCTGCAGAAAATACTTGCATTAAGCGCTTTACTTGATGCGCTGCAGGGCCTTGGGGCCTGCTGAAACTATCCTTCTGAATTAAAAGAAAGCTTGTGTACTGTGAGAAACAGACGTAAAAGCAGTGGGCCTTTCCAGGTGTGAATCCAAGTTCTTCTCAAACACAAAATTACTGCAAAGTTGCTAATTTGCACTTTGATTTTTTTTTTTTTTTTTTTCAAAATTGATTAGAATATGCTGGTTAAAATGCTATTCTCCTGTCATTTTAAGAGGATTCATGCTTTCTCAGAGCCGAGGAGCTGGACTGCTTTGAAGTTCTGGGTTTATTGCTGCAGTTTGCTTATGGATTGTCACTGGTTATACTTCATATTCACAAAACAAAGTGAGGAATGATCAGCATACCACTCTTCTGAAATTGAGGACATTTTTTAAACTGTTGTGTTAGAGCAGCTTAAGGCTAAAATGTGTCACAGAAAGCTCTGTAGACTTACAGATTCCAGTTTTATTTAACTTCACAGAATCACAGAATTTTAGGGATTGGAAGGGACCTCAAAAGATCATCTAGTCCAATCCCCCTGCTGGAGCAGGACCACCTAGATCAAATCACACAAGAACGTGTCCAGGTGGGTTTTGAACATCTCCAGAGAAGGAGACTCTCTCAGTAAGTTACCCTTACTGGGAAGAAGTTCTTCCTCATGTTTAAGCGGAACCTCCTGTGTTCCAGCTTATATCCATTTTCCCTTGTCCTATCATTGGATGCCAGTGAGAAGAGCCTGGCTCCATTCTCATGACAGTCACCCTTTACATGTTTATAAACATTAATGAGGTCCCCCTCAGTCTCCTCCAAGCTAAAGAGACCCAGCTCCGTCAGCCTTTCCTCACAAGGGAGATGCTCCACTCCCTTAATCATCTTTGTGGCCCTGTGCTTTAACTTAAAACTTGGAAATTAACAGTTTAAAATGTCTGAGGCATACTTAGAAAATTCAAATTATAGTGTAAACTGACAGGAAAATTTCTAAATCTCTGGATACACTTTGGGGACAGCTTATCCCCAGAATATAGGGATATGTTTGGATTCATGAACACTCAGAACAGAAACCCAGAACAAAGCAGTTGCATCAACAGATGTAAAAATCTTTCTGTGGAAGTGGTAGAACTTTTAAATTTTCTTCAGCTATGTACTTTGCTTTGATCAAAAACTGTAATTTCTCAGTATTAATGTGAGGTCAATCAGTATTTTTTGTATAGACTTGACGGTTGCACTGTCATCGAGACTGAAAGCAACCTCTGGAGATTGCCCCGTCCAACCTGCCCCTGCTCAACAGGCTCAGCCAGAGCAGGTTTCTTAGGCCCTGTCCACTCAGGTTTTGAGTATCTCCCACGACAGAGATTTTACAAGCTCTCTGGGCAACCTGTTCTCGTGATGGACCATCCTCACAATAAAAAGACATTTTTATATTTAAACAGAATTTCCTATATTGCAGTTTGTGCCCTTGCTTGACTCTTGTCCTGTCACTGGGCACCACTGAGAAGGATCTGTCTCCATCTTCTTCCCTGCACCTCCATCAGGTGCTTACAGACATTGTGGGATCCCCCTGAGCCTTCTCTTCTCCAGGCTTGGACAGTCCCAGCTCTCTCAGCCTCTCCTCGTTTGCCAATACTCTCGTTATCTTTGTTGTCCTTTGCCATTCTCCAGTACGCCCATGCTCACCACAAGTGTTATTTTACCAGATGTCTTCTGGAAAATTATTGGGGGGTGTTTTAAGGGTTTTTAAAGCCTGAACAATTCTGTTTATCCTTGTTTACTGTGTAGTAGTAGATCAGTATTCTACTAGTGAAATGAGTTGAGAGTTGTGACTCACTTTGTTCAATGATAAGTGGGTGTCCGCTGGTTTTAATAATCTTTGGAAATGTGCCTGTGGACATTACACTGGCTTTTTCTCTTAATGGATTTTCATATGACCTCCTTCAAAATGATATCACTTTTTTTTTTTTGTAATCGTACTATTTTCTTTTGTACTACCAGAATTCCTAAGGCCAAAGAAATAAGTGTACTATTAATAACTGTATAGGGAGATAAAAGTATAACCATTAATCTGGCTAGAGATCTTATAAATGTCAGCTGAGTGAATATTCATAGTTTAATTTCTTCTGGTTTCTTCTCCTAGAAAAATAAAAATCCCACAGGGAGGTTCTTCTAGGTACTGAAACTTGCTACAGTTGTTTTTACGTGAAGCAGTGATAGGCTGAAGTCATAGTTTAAGTTGTCATTGTCAGGTATCCATACCCAAAATTTCGTATAAAGTGACATCATGTTTTAGTTGTCTGTGCAACTCTTCCTTTGCATCCAGTCTGCATGAGGAAAAAGATTCAGGGTTTAGAGAGTAGCATTCAGAAATTCAGCCACCTGGTGCATATAGTAACTTTGCATCAACAGGGAGAAAAAAAAAGGCATTTTTTAGTTCAGGTGTCTTGAGTGTGTGGCCTTTCGTGTAATTGGAATTCGGAATTATCCATCTTCGCTCAATTAGCTCTAACAACATCTGGTCGTTGCCAAAACAGTGTCTCTAACAAAACTTGTTGCAAAGTCAAGGGTGGAATTGCCAGGTCCTAAGGAACGTAAAGCAACACCTCGGAGTTTGCAGTGAAAACAGTATTTATTATAATGATATATAATTATATTGGCATATAATTTCAAAGCGATATATTTCTTAAGCCAGCTAGCTGTAATGCATGCAAAGTGAACAAAAGGCTTCTAGTGAAATGTTTGTTATATCTCAAAGACAAACCAAACAACCTCCAGAACAAGTTTCTTGAACAACAGTAAGCACTTTGGCTTTTCTCCTTCAGCATTCATTATCTCAAACTTCAGTCACTTTTTTTTAAAAAAAGAGAGAGATAAGTAAAACTTGAGAATGTTTTCACATTAAAATTGAGATAAAATTGCATCTAATATTTCAATAATACTGCACTGTCATCAGCACTTGCTATTATAGACACTGGGCGGAGAATGGATTGAGAGCAGCCCTGAGGAAAAGGGCTTAGGAGTGCTGGTGGATGAGAAGCTCAACATGAGCCGGCAATGTGCGCTGGCAGCCCAGAAAGCCAACCATATCCTGGGCTGCATCAAAAGAAGAGTGACCAGCAGGTCGAGGGAGGTGATTCTGCCCCTCTACTCTGCTCTCGTGAGACCCCACCTGGAAAATACTGTATTCACCTCTGGAGTCCCCAACACAAGAAGGACATGGAGCTGCTGGAGTGGGTCCAGAGGAGGGCCACAAAGATGATCCAAGGGCTGGAGCACCTCTGCTATGAAGACAGGCTGAGAGAGTTGGGGCTGTTCAGCCTGGAGAAGAGAAGGCTCCAGGGTGATCTTATCACAGCCTTCCAGTACCTAAAGGGGGCCTACAAAGCTGGAGAGGGACTTTTTACAAGGGCATGTAGTGATAGGACAAGGGGAAATGGCTTTAAACTGAAAGAGGGCAGATTTCGATTAGATATAAGGAAGAAACTCTTCCCTCTGAGAGTGGTGAGGCACTGGAACAGTTTGCCCAGAGAAGTTGTGGATGCCCCATCCCTGGAAGTGTTCA